CACCGGGCATACCTGCAATTGCCATGAAGTTGGCTTTGATCCTGTGTAGTTGTTGATTGTCCAAAGGAAACCGGATAAACTGTTGGATGATATGTGGTCTAGAGAGCGCGCTGATGGTTTGGTTTATGGCACGGCTGACTGATGGTTGCGATATTCCTAAATCGTCGGCATTGCAAAGTTGCATTTTCCCTGTTGCTAAATATCGTAGTGTTGCCAAACATTTTATTTCCGGACTGATCGGGTTATTCCTGTTAGTCGGGGATGTTATTGCATCCCGCACTAATTCCACAACAAGTTTGATACCCTCAGGATTTAGCCTATATCTCTTGATCAATTCACAGTCTTCCATTGTCTCCAAAACATTTCGTCTCGCAGCCATTTTCAGATTCTTTGTGAATAGGTCTTACTGAGTTAGGAGTCCTCTCGAGGACTTTTAAGCTCTCCTAAACTTAGGTGCTACTTTTAGGCCTAAAATACTTTGTGAATTGCTCTTAGTGAATAAAATTAGGAGTCCTAAATTTAAGACTGACACGCCCATTATGTTTAGGAGTTTCTCCTAAATTCGCCAGTTAGGAGCTACTTTTAGCCCTAAGATCCTTTGTGAATACGGCCCCTGAGCACTGGGAACTATCTCTTAGTTTTTACTCTGTCACGTTTGTACATTTCTATGTAAACCTTTATTAACACCTTGAATAGATAGCATTGGAATTTCTAGTGTTGTCCTTCTGAGATCTTGACTTTCTTCTTGACTTATAGATTTCAGTGTTGGACGTTCTGTTTGGGGAAGGGCTGCATGATATTAGAACAACTGACATTGTAGTTTTTATTTCCCTACAAATGGGAGCAAAGACAAACATATATACTTTTTGTGCAATCTGAACCACTTTCCGCCCTAATTCCATTCAAGTAACCTATTTATTAAAAAAGGTCACAAAAGATAATATTGCGATACTCAATTATATCAATATTGTCTTGAATCCCTACTGCCATCTTTATACTCCCACACACTCGCTCTCTTAATGCATACATATGGCAGCGGAAATAACACACTGAGGAAATACCGCGTTAAGCTGGCAAGAAAGGCAAACAACAGTCATGAATGTTTTTAGTATGTTTTGAGGCATTAGAGTTAGCAACAGTGTAGGACCAACCTCAGACTGGATGTGAACGTTGTGTCAGTAATGTGATGCGTGGTCTGCAACATGTCCTTCTCTTTGCCCTGGGGGTTCTCAACTGGTCCAGCCACATGATCCACATTTGTCCTTATTCACAACCCAGACATCGTTGATGAAAACATTTATAGTTAAGTCATTTAGAATGCTCTTTATGATAAAAAAAAAAAAGAAGAAGTTTGCCAAGGTGTGATGACAGCCACATGTGGCAGCTGAAAACAGTATTTCAGGAGAGGCTCTGTAAATCAATGCACTTCAGAATAAACCTGTTTTGTCACACAATCAATCAACAACTTTATTAATCCCGCAAGGGGCAATAGGTTATGAGCAGCAGCTTATGTCACATACACAAGCAGGAACATACAGGAAGAAAACACACAGATACACCTGGGAGCACAGATGTGGATCATTCCAATTTACAATATAAATAGTTCATAGCATCACAATAATAAATACATCAATAAATAATCAAGTTAAAAGCCTTTCAAGAATTTGAAAGTTTGAGTGCAGAAGGGATGAATGATGACTACAATCTTGCAGTTCACCTATAATAGACAGGGACCTAATACTGGGTCATGAGCCACCAGTTGAGAACTACAACTCTGCCACAGTGGGCTGGATGTACATTATTTCAGCTGTTTAAGATATATGCTCCCAAAGATCAGAATTGACGGACTCCATTAGGCATTTTGCGTTTAGACACTCATCAAAATGGATTAAATAAATGACCGTTGTCTTCAAGTAATGTTGAGACAATAATAATCACAGCTCAAAACCCAAATCATGAGACCACTGATGCCACATGTCCACTGCATGGTTAGACTTAAGTCAACTCACTCTTGTTACCAGGCCTTCTCTCTATATTATTCCCCTGCAGATAGTAGCCCCTCGGTGTAGGCGGGAATGTGATGTGACACTGAATCCTTTCATCGGCAACCCAACAGAGGAATGTCTATCTGCACGTCATCATTTGTAGGGCATATTTTAAAAGACTGCCATTTTAGAAGTGAAAAAAACACGTTTGAGTTTATAAAAACAAAATGCTTTTGAAGGTGTCTTGACTATTTAAGCTCTACTGGTCTTGCGCCAATCAATCTGACCAATCAGTGCTCTGCAGTGTTTTAACGTCGCCTTTTGCTGGGGACGTCGACTGAGGTTATACAAAAAAAAGTACCAGCTCTTAAGATCTACAACCTTTGATAATGGAAAACCAAGTAAGAGTGGGTTGAGTCGAGGACGGTCATGCAGTGTAAATGCAGCAATAAAGAGGAAACTACCATAAAACCCTTCATGGACATTGCGTAGACACTGCCCTGACCCTTTGATGCCATCTCTGTGTGTCTGTTGTCATTTATGTTTGTTCCTCCAGAGGTCATGACCACCATCGAGGAGGGCGATGTGGATGAAATGACCAAGAGGAGGGTGTACGAGCAACAGGAGAAACCTGGAGCTCTCTGGCACATCTACGCTGCGAAGGATGCAGAGAAGATCAGAGAGCTGCTCCGCAAGGTCAGCATCTAGCAGATTTCTGTTAGCATTGTGTCTCTGAAGCTGCTTCGTAATTGGCTGTACTTGTAAAATATTTAAACCTCAGACCCAGGGGCCTCTGCAAATATGTATAAAAATAAATGGTTGCAGCGTCGAAGGCGGGCCCCACTCATTCCTGTGGAAGTTGTGGAAGTTGTTAAGTGGTCTAATTTGACTGCTGTCAGTTACCCTGATCTTCCAGCGAGCTTCTGCATCGCTAGCGTTTTCTTTAACCTTAGCTCCCATCTGCTACGGTTTCGGGCTGATTCACATGAACAGAGGAAGGACAATAACCTGATTTATTCTTAAAATAAATACGATAGGGATGCCTCTTTTGGGCCCACTGGCATCATCTGAATGTGAACATTAAAGGTCCCATGTCATGGCCATTTCCACTGATCATAATTCCATTGTTGAGGTCTACTAGAATAGATTTATATTTTGCAATTTTCCAAAATCACTTGTGTTTCTCAAACAGCATCTCTGTAAACCAAGTGTATTCACTGAATTTCACTCTCTGCCTTTAACGGCTCGTTGTAGCTCCAATAGCTCCAGCCCCCACCCTCCCTGTGAGCACAGTGTGCTCTGATTGGTCGGGACGTTGTGAATCGCGCTGAGCTCCGTGGAGGTGTGGTTTCCTTGTTTAGCGATGCACAGCAAAACACAGCCAAACTCACCCTGAGCACACACAAAGTCACAGCCGAAGTAAAAACAATAAGTGTGGCTTGATATTGAGTAAGAAAAAGGTTGATAAACGCTGTGAGAATGGGTCTGCAGAGAGAATTTTGCCGCGATCCCAACTGTCTGTTATCAGCCTGCAGCCAGGGAGGAGAGATCAGCAGAGCTGCCTGCACTGAGTGAGTGTGTGAGGAAGTCCGTGGATTGGTCAATTTGGACCAATCAGCGGGGGCTTAACGTAACGGCTCCGCGGACGTAACGTAACGGCTCCACGGATTGGTCCATTTGGTTCCAGGTAACGCATGACATCATGAGTTACCCGGAAGAATCAATGGACAGTGACGTATCTCCAACGAGGCGTTTTGGGGAGGTATTTTCTGTGTTAGAGTTTTACTCGCTACAGGGTGTACTTTGAGGGTTTTGACTCTGCAGACCATTTACATGCAGAAAAACCTTCCTAACACACAAGGGGACGGGTAATAACCGGAAAAGCATGACATGGGACCTTTAAAGTTTGACAATCTTCCTGGGGGTTGATGGCCTGATGTCACTCATTGTAACACACAAACAAAAAC